GTTCCCAGAGGGTCAGGGCACAGAGAAATGGAAAGTCTAGCCCAGATTAAGTGTGGGAGGGAGACAGAGATGGGAGGGAGCCTGGGGTCTGGCAGGGAACACTTACTGATCCTCTCGAGGGTGAGCGAGCCCTCCCCAAACATGGAGAGGGCGGTGTGCACCAGCTTGCGCTGGAACTTCCAGAGGGGCCCGTAGCTGGCAAAGGCGATGTCCTTGCCCCCCCGGGACAGCAGGTCTGTGGTCACCTGTGGGACAAGCAGCCCCGGGGTCACCCCGCTGCAGGGCAGCCCCCCAGGGGTCGTGTGTCAGAGAGGGGTGATGCTGGGGCGGGGGGGGGCGGTTAAGCATCTCATCTCATCCCAGGGATGGTTGGTCGTTAGTGCTGGCACACAAAGCCCAGGCCATGAGCTTTGCTTTCCCCCCTGGTGAGGACTGATGGAGAGGTCTGGGGACATATGCCAGGGTTAGGGGCTGGGGTGCCCAGGATACTAGGGGGTGCAAGGAGCCTGGTGATACCTGAACCCACATCCCCATGCCCCAAGATGCAGCCATCCCTGAGGGAGAACGGACACCCTCAGGGTGGAGGATGCACAGTATTCACCCTGGGGAACGGCACAGAGAGGGGCTGCCCCTGCCATTGCTTTGCTGCAGGCAGGATGGGGAGAGGAGATGGACCCTGCTGGGTGCCGGTGCCTTTCTTGGGAGCATTCCCCCCGCTTCACCCAATGCTGCAGTGGGAGGGCATCCCCCCAAAACCTGCTGTTAACTCACAGTGCGGGGCCGTCCAGCGAAAGCCTTCCCCTTCTTCAGCAGCACCTCCCTGGCATGCCGGTAGCTGTTGACCACCACCACGTAGTGGGAGCCCATCCAGAGGGCGTAGAGGCTGCCGTAGCGGCTCTGCAGACGCCAGAGCCTCAGGTGGAGCTGGGGATGCCCGGCCAGCTGCAGCAGGCTCCCCACCAGCGGCAGGGCTGGCAGGCTCCGTGGGCGCCCCAAACCTGTCCCCATCCCCAAGGTGGCTCGCCGTTGCACCAGCTCCCAGGCGCAGAGCAGGGCCAGGGCCAGCAGCAGGGCCCCCAGCAGCGGCATGGCAGGGCTGGCTGCGGGGCTGCGGCAGCGCAGGGGGCCTTTATACCGGCTGTGGGGTCATCGCCTTGACCCCGAGGCAGGCTCGCCTCCTTATTGGGGGATGGGGAGGGGGAGAACTGAGCTCTTGGGCCCATGGCCAGATCTGCAGCTGGGCACCTGACAAGGAGCAAGGGCAGCAGGGCCATGGCTGCACCGGGTGGCCGTGGGGGATCTGCATCCAGCAGGCTTTGAGCCAGGGAATGCCTGGGGCTGGATTCATCCTTGGGGC